AACCAAGGAAAATTTGGTGTTTGTTTTTTTGTTCTTTTTTTTTAATATGTCAAAACAAGGAGTTAAGTGATGGTACATTTCCTGATTACAAAGACTAAGGCCAGGGTGGTGGAACATAGGGGTAATATCCTAGAACTTGGGAGGCAGAGGCAAGCTCCAGGCTACTACTGGTCTATGCACCAAGTTCCAGACCAGCCAGGACTACATAGTGAGATACATACATACCTAATACATACACACACACTTACTTAAGTGTGTACATGCATACATATATGAATCAAAGCTTTCAAACTTTCTCTCTTAAGGCAATCTTTAAAAAAAAAAAAAACAACATGAGAGTTTTCCGGGCACCTGGCAACTTTGATTTGCTTATTTTTATCTCTTTTCTATTTCTTTCACCTTCTTTCACTTTTTAAACGTTTTGTGACCTGCACACAAGCAGCTTGCAACTTCCATGACTCCTGTGTTCCCAGTCCAACTCTCCCAGGTGCAAACTTAACTATTCAAGCAATGCTGACGAGTTCAGACATTTAGTACCTGAATTTATTTAATTGTTTCTTTTTTTTTTAAATCAGGTTCCATTGAGATACTCTTGCACAAATGCTACACAGGTGACCCTGAGCAGGCCATCCCATCATACAAGGAGGTGGTGAGGTCGGTTAGTCCTGTTATTGTCATAGTGTGATCACTCGTTCCTATGACAACTGGCATACTACACTGCCTTTCTCTTCCTCCAGTATCCATGGATGAACGCTGCTGGAGTCAGTTACTACACTGATGTTAGTAGTGGTTTATTTTTTAGATTTTTTTGTACTTATTAGAAAGAATCTTCAATACTAAACTAAGGTCCTTTCTTTGTTGGGGTGGGAGGGAGGGAGTATATGCCTAGACAACTATGGCCTACACGTGGCTGTAAGAGGACAAGTCAGGCGTCCACCCTGAGCTTCCACTCTGAGACAGGGTCCTTTACGTACCTTAGATAAGCTGAGCTAGTTGGCCTGGCAGATTCCAGGAAGTTCTCTTATACTCTTCCCTTGTCTCTATACACTTTATCTTGTGATATGGGAGTGATTTCTTATTAATAAAGAAACTGCCTTGGCCCATTTTTATTGGTTAGAACATAGGTGGGTGGAGTAAACAGAAGAGAATTCTGGGAGAAAGAAGCTGAGTCGAGGAGTCGCCATGATTCTCCTGCTCCAGGCAGACGCAGGTTAAGATCCTCCCTGGTAAGCCAGCTCGTGGGCTACATAGAATATTAGAAATGGGTTAGAACAATATGTAAGAGCTAGCCAATAAGAAGCTGGAACTAGCTGGGCCAGGCAGTGTTTAATAGAATACAGTTTCTGTGTAATTATTTCGGGCATAAGCTAGCCATGCGGGTGGCCAGGTGCCGGGGACTCAGCCCTGCTGCTCCTAATTCAACAATCTTGCCTCGTGAATATCGGAATTACACACACACACATACACATACACTCACACATACACTCACACGTGCATTCACATGCACGCACACACTCACGCATGTAGGTTCTGAGAATTCCAGTTCTGGTCTTCAATTCTTGAGCAATCAGCACTTTATCTGTCGGGCCATCTCCCTAGCAACGCCACCCACTTTTCTAAACTGGGTTTCTAACTTGCTATGTGGTGAAGGGTGACCTGGAGTCTGGATCCTCCAACTCTGCCTCCCTTAGGATTATAGGTGTGTGCCACCAATCTTTCCGACACTAGATGTATGCTCTATCTGCTATATGGGTAACCACCCCTCAATTCTAAAATAAGACAGATGTCTGAAGCTACTAGGAAAATATATCTTAAGTACGTCTCTCTCTGGAAGCCCCATTTTCTTTCTTTTCTCTTTTTATTTTATTTTTATTTTTTTAATTTTGTATTTTTTCTTTTTATTTTTTTATTTATTAAAGATTTCTGCCTCCTCCCCGCCACCGCCTCCCATTTCCCTCCCCCTCCCCCAATCAAGTCCCCCTCCCTCCTCAGTCCGAAGAGCAATCAGGGTACCCTGCCCTGTGGGAAGTCCAAGGACCACCCACCTCCATCCAGGTCTAATAAGGTGAGCATCCAAACTGCCTAGGCTCCCACAAAGCCAATAGGTGCAGTAGGATCAAAAACCCATTGCCGGTCCCATTGCCGGCATAAGGATTGTATGTGAAGGCATGTACTTAAAAAGACCCGATATGATGGAATCAGGGTCGCCCTCAGCATCTCTGCCATCATCCAGCCTTTGTGAGTCTGGGATTCCTTGCTTGACTGTGTGCAGTGTGCGGAGGTGAGTTGGATTCAAATGCCCATTTGTGTGTGTGTTTTTCGTTTTGGTTGAGATAGAGATTTGCTGTGTAATCCAAGCTGATCTTGAAGTACTGATTCTCCAGCCTCAGGCTCCCAAGTGCTAGGATAGGCATGTGATGTCCAACACTGTTTTGGTTTGTTTTTCATTTTGTCTTTAGTGGAAAAGTGGGATTGAAATGTTGGTGGAGCCTGCACCATCCTCCCTTGAACCAAGATCTTGGGGTTTCTTTGGGTTGAAGAGAAGGGAAGGTGTGCAAAGACTTTGACTCTGCCTCCTTCTAGAAGAATTTACAGAATTCCTGCTCTAGGAAATTGGTGCCAAGAAGAAGGTGCTTCCCCGGTGGTGGCAGCTGCTGGTGCCTAGGTTCAGAATGGTTGATAGTGGAAGCCGGGAACAACTGCGCACCCACTTCTGTGCCCACTGAAAGATGCTCTTGCTTTAACAAAGAAAACATGAGTCCAACCTCTCTGGGAATCACGGAGGGAGATGTCACCAGCTCCACTTCATCTTCTATGTGGTCATATTTAGTGCTAACACCACTAATAAAGTTATATGGACAACATTTGGGTTAATCTGGAATGTTATGGACTCTTAAACTCTCCCCACATTAAAAGGAAACATTCTGTCTTTGTTTGTCAGCCTTTGCACTGTGTACTGTTTAACAAGGGGATTTCAACAGTCTGTTTTCCAAACGTGCAAGCAGCAGAGAGTGAGCTGACCCGGGGCGTGCAAGCACACCACAGAGCTGTAATCTCGAGATAGGAAGTAAAGGAAAAAGTCAAAACAGCTCAACCAAATATGAATGCAGACAAACCTTTCTTCCCCAGACCCTTTCCCCAGGCATGAGGGAGCAAGCTGGCCTCGGCATCAGCTCTGGTGAACTTGAACTCACATACATTCACCCTTGTGCTGCTCTGTGGGACCCAAATGCAGACTGGACAGGCTAACACCTCCATAAATTTATTCAACAAGTATTTACTAATGTGAATCTGCTCCGTGGACACAGTCGTAAGCTGTCAGACAGGCCATGCGTATGAAGACTCACAAGTTCTCTGCCCTTCAGGAACTTCGCTAGTTTATATGGAGAAAGAAAACAGTCTGAGAATCTAGCCCACAGCACTGAGAGGAACCAGGGCACAGTGGCTGTGCCAGACAGTCTGAGCAGCTTTCCCGGATTCTGCATGTCTGCATACAGCTGTTTTGAAATCTGGGTCAGCTTACGGAATGACTGTTGTAGATCAGAAGACAGAAGCAGGGAAAAGCAAGCGGAGAACAGGCGAGAGGCGCCCCTCTCCAGTACATGGCAGGGCCTTTCGGAAACCCTCCTCCTCATCATCAGACGATCAGCAAGAGTCAAGCCTAGTGTTTCCAAGGTGCTGGACAAGAAGATCAATGGTATCTGAGCCACTGTCACAAGAACCTGAAAGAAAGGGGAGTTCGGGGTGTTCTCTGTGCGGAGCTTGCTCCACCTTGAGTATCTCCACATGTGAGCTGAACTGCTGTTCTCGCCCAGTCACCTGTGAGAGAAACATTAGTGCCTCCTGCTTCTCTCATGAAGAAACAGACCCAGGAGTGGTTTGTTCTTCCTCAGGATACAAGCCCAGCAGACGGTGAAACTAGAATCAGACCCTGCTCTGCCTGACTTCAAACCCAAGTTCTGGGCTGATGAGGTAGCACTGACCTCCAAACCTGAAGACCTAAGTTCAAAGCCAGGCCCAACATCAGGGAGGATGAGAACTGACTCCTGTAAGTTGTCATACTATGGCATGAGCATCCCCCTTCAGAAAACATGCATGTGTACTTGCACACGCGTGCACACACACACAAGTAATATGTGTGACTATTTTATGTATGTATACTACAGGTATGCCTGGTGCCCAAGGATGCCAGAAAAGGGTATCAGGTCCCCTGAGACTGGAGTTATAGACACTTGTGAGCCACCAAATGGATACTGGGAATTGAACCCAGGTTCTCTGGAAGAGCAGTCAGTGCTCTTAACCAGTAAACTACCTCTCCAGCCCCAATAAATGTAATTTAAAAAATTGAAAATAGCTGAGTGTTATGCCTATAATATCAGCCATTGAAAGACAGAGGCAGGAAAATCCCTGAAAATTCAGGGCCAGCCTGGTCTCCTTAGCAAGTTCCCAGGCCTTGCCTAAAGTAATAATAATAAATAATTGTATCGAATTAAACTTGGGAAGGAAAGGCTTGTTTGCTTAAACCGTTTAAATTAAATATAACGAAAAGGGAAAAGTGATTGGCTGTGTGGTTCTTGCCTTGCTTTGTGGGAACGCTTGCTGGGAATGTGGTTCTATTGTGCAAGAGGATGTTGGCTTTATACTGTAACCACCAGGCAGGTTGAGCTCAGAAACAATTAGCTCAGTCCCTGAGCCTTTGAATCTGATTAAGCCAGGAAGTGGTCACTCCCCAGGACATAGCAGATGAAGGGAGTCAAGGCAGCCACTCCAAAAGGAGAAATCAACCCCCACTCTCTCTGAAAATGGACAGTTTTGGAGTTTATCCTGTCTAACTCACATCTAGGGCTCTAGCATGCCCTCTATTCACCTTTGGAGAAGCAGGGACTTGTCTGCAGGAACTTGTTGCCCGTGTTTGCAGTCATCGCAGCTACAGTCTCTAAGAAACTTATGTTTACGGAGGGCTGGCTTGCCCTTGTGTTTTGGTAACAGATTATCTCAGAGCAAAGACTCAAGTCACAGGGGAAGATGAAGGGCCCCTACCAGGCTGCTGGCAGGACCCTGCTTACTCTAGGGAGCCTCAGCATCCTCTCTGGAGTGCTTGCCTTCTTCCCCGTCTTCTCTTGCAAGCTTCAGTATGCAGGATGGAGCGTTTGGATCGCCTGTCCCATCTGGAATGGGGCTTTGGTAGGACGTATTTCATTAACACACTGCTGTAAGGGGAGATGAGAAGAAAGGGGAGGTAAAATATATCAGTTAAGAGTTTTCCGATAATCCAAAGAAGTACATGCCCTGCAGAAAACTGTACTCCTGAGTTGGGAGCAGGAATTTCTGTGAGCTGAATTTTAAGCATGCCATTTTTCTTAGCATTGTTTTATATGTATTTGTATGTCGTGTATACAACGAAATGTTAGAGAAATTCTTATGGGGCCTGGTGGCACAGATCTGTGACTCCAGCTCCAGGGAGACTGAGGAGGGATGGGAGCTTGAGGCTAGCCTGGCTACACAGGGAGGCTCTGATTGTTATGCAGCCGTTCGTCCCTGCCAAGCTCATGTCACCACACCGGGCGTAGTTTTGACTAAGATTATATACATTTGGTGCAGGCTGAGCATATATTTCAGGCATAGGCCAAGAGGAAGGGCATGTGTGTCTCTAACATGCCACTGAGTACAGGAGGTAGAGCGGGACAGGCTGGGGTTGGGCACGGAATCAGAGGCACAAGGGGTATGGAAGTAGCCTGTGTTCAAGTTCTGACTTTAATGTTCTCACTACTTGGTCTGAAGCAGGCATCTCAGCCAGCTAGCTCTTTCTTTCTCTTTCCTGTGCTGTGGGTATTTTCATGGGTATAAAGAGACCATGTGAACAACTGTCTAACCCTAAGGATGGTGAGGATGAAGGCAATTTGAGCAAAGACTTTGTACTCTATTCCCGTACCGTGTGCTCTGCCCAAACTCTCTCTTCTTTCCCACTTGCTGCCAACCCTGCTCTGTTATCCTCCTCCCCGGAGTGTAGCTTCCTGGACCTCATTGCCAGCCAGCTTGTTCTTAGTTGATGTCTCCCCCTTCACATTCAAGGCTGCCATTTCAAGAATGCGAAGGTAGGTGTCACCCAGGCCCTTTGCTCTGGGGTCTTTTTGTCTAAAACCTTCCTGTATCTGGCTGGCTCCCAAACCGTATTTTCAAAGGCAGGATCTCATGTGTCTCAGGCTGTTCTAGAACTCTCTATGAAGCCTAGAACTTCTGACCTGTCCACTTCCATCTTCCCATTGCTGGGGCGACTAGCAACCACCACCATGCCCAGCTTCCGCAGTCCTTCAGGTCCAGCCTAGGGCTTCATGCTTCAAGGCAACAGCTCCACACCCAGCTCCCCACTGTCAATTATCAATCAAACACCACTTTCCCACCAAGGTCCTCCCTCTTTTACGCTATTCAAACTGCAACCCCTAGAGGCCAGCAGAGACGACCCAGCAGGTAAAAGTGCTTGTCAGGGAGCTGGAAGACTCAAGTTCGATACCTGGAACCCACACGGTAGAAGGAGAGAGCCAACTCCCATCAGAGGTCCTCTGACCTCCGCTTGTGTGCTATGGTTGCCATGTGCCCACTCCCCAAACCCCACACAAAATAAATAAATAAAACAAATGCAAAAGGCATCTTTAAAACTGTAACCCCTGCCCCTGACTGCCGTTCCCAATGGGCCCACCCCATCTACAGTGTAACCCTGCCCACCCCCCACCCCCCACCCATGGTTCCCAATCCTGTGGGCACACCCCTGTCTACACTGTGATCCTGCCCCCCACCCCTGTCTGCGGTTCCCAATCCTGTGGGCCCACCCCTGTCTACACTGTAACCCTGCCCCCCCCTGCAGTTCCCCATCCTGTGGGCCCCCCCTAGTGTACACTGTAACCCTGTCCCCCCCCCCCCAGTCTACAGTTCCCAATCCTGTGAACCCACCTCCGTCTACACTGCTATATGACTTAACTACTTCCTGTGCATTACACTAGGAAAAGGTTCTGTTTCTCTATCTCCAGAGCTTAGGACAAAGACAGCCACCTGCTAGATTTTGAAAAAAGCAGCATTTGATGGAAACTCTTGACTGAGTAGATGTTTCCCAGGCCCTGCATTCTGGCAACAGACTGTGTTGTGTTGAACTCTGGTTGGGTTGTGAGGACAACAGGTGAGGCTGGGTCTATGAAGAAGAAAGCCCAGAAGGAAGAGGTAGAGTGCCCACTCCTCCCATGTCTAAATCTGGAGCAACAATCATTTTCTTCCTCTTGAGGTTCTTACTAAGCTAGCTTTGTCTGATCAAGGTCAGCTTCGCAAGGCTGCTGCCTTTTCCACACCACCCCTGCCAATCATGTCTTTAATTGCCGCTGAGACTCATCTTCCTCCAGTGAAAGATGACTTGGATATTTCAATCATATAGCAATCTCCTTTACAAATGACTTCGTATTTCTTTTGAGGCGTGAAAGAGAGAAATCTTTGCATGTGATACAGTCTTTTGTATTTGTTCAAAGCTTTTTATTCAAGACTTTCTAAAGTCCAACCAGCGTTTTGGCCCACACCCTCCAAATTCTGTTCTAAAGCCACATGGCACACACTTTTCCTAGGATGTCTGAGCAAGGCTATTTAAAGACATCACCTGCTAGGAAGCATGCAGCCAGCAGGTCAGATGTCCTCCAGAACTGAGCCCTTTTAACCCTCAACACATGGCCCGCAGAGCCTTCTGATGAGGAGACTGGATCCATGAACACATGGCCTGCAGAGCCATCTCTGATGAGGACACTGGATCCATAAACACATGGCCTGCAGAGCCGTCTCTGATGAGGACACTGGATCCATAAACACATGGTCTGATGGAGGAAGGTCATTGGCTAATAAAGAAACTGCCTTGGCCCATTTGATAGGCCAGCCTTTAGGTGGGTGGAGTAAACAGAACAAAATGCTGGGAAGAAGGGAAGTGAGCTTAGATTCCATTTCCTCTCCTCTCTGGGGCAGACGTGATGAAGCTCCAACCCAGGATGGATGTAGGCTAGAATCTTCCCAGTAAGCACACCTTGGGGTGCTACACACATTAATAGAAATGGGCCAGGCAGTGTTTAAATGAATACAATTTGTGTGTTGTTATTTCGGGGCATAAGCTAGCCAGGCGGCCGGGAGCTGGGTGGCAGGAACCGGCCCGCAGCTCCTTTCAACAATGGTCTGCAGAACTGTCTCTGATGAAGAAACTGGTGGATCCATGAACACATGGCTCACAGCGCCATCTCTGGCAAAGACACTGGATCCATGAAAACATGGCCCACAAGAGCCGTCTCCGATAAAGAGACTGGATCCATGAACACATGGCCTGCAGAGCCGTCTCTGGCGAAGACACTGGATGCATAAACACATGGCCTGAAAAGCTGGCTCTGGTGAAGAGACTGGATCCCATGCATTTAGTCAAAGAATCTACATGTTGAGAGTCAGGGTTCTGGCCAGAAACAAGTCATAGCCTACCTCCCAGAGCTTTGCCAGTACAAGATCAGGGTTCCCCTTGAGCCCTGCTGAGCAGGTTTCTCAACTGCTGCAGAGTGGGCTCAGCCATGTGGGGGCTTAGCAGTCATGAGACTACCATTTACCAGACAGCAGCGAAGGAGAGACAGTGTTTGGCAGTGGTTAAAATAATGAAATCAGAGTTTATTCAGTACTAATGCAGAGTGGAGAAAAGGAGAGCTTCGAACAGGACCAGGTTCTTCTCCAGATGCTGCAGCACAGCAGAGAATGTAGGTCAAGGAGCAGTGAGTGGGGCGGTGGGTAGGAAATTACACAGAGGAAATAGTAAGGAGAAATTATGGGGACTTTTGCTGAGGACAGACTAGGTGATCAGACATTGTCTGCAGGGTGATGCTGGAGGATAAAGAGATCAAACACACGGTTAATCAAACATCTTGGTTAAATGTTTTTATTTATCTACTACTGTCTTTTAATTCATTTGTTGTGTATATGAACACACATGGGTGCCCCTGTGCAATTGTGGGAGTCAGAGAACAGCATTCAGGAGGCAGTTCTCTCCTTACACCATGTGGGTTCAAACTCAGGCCTTGTCTTGGCAGCAAGAGCCCTTACCTGCTGAGCCATCTTATTCACAGGTCCCCAAGAAGATCTTACAAGGAAGTGCTGATTCTGGCAGTTTGGCCGGTTGGAGTAAGCAAATTGATCTTTGTCAGTGGTTAGTTTCCCACTTGAATAGTCCAAGCCTCTTTTTAGTCATCCTGCCTAAAAACAAATTAGTCATCTCGTCATCCAAACCAATTCTTTCTTCTCCAATTTCCCTTTCTTTGTGTTGGGAAATCAATTTCAAACCAAGAATGACCTTTGACTCAGTTCTTTCTGCTAAAGTAGTCTCTTTTCAGACTGTGGAGATAAATCATTGGGAACCAATAAGAGACAGGGTCAGAGCTGGAGGAATCTATGGGTAGAAGGGTCAGTGCTAGGGAAACTATGGACAAGAGGGTCAGTGCTGGTGATCTATAGACGGCAGGATTAACACTTGGGATCTATAGAAGGCAGGGTCAGCACTGGGGATCTATGGGCAGCAGGCTCAGCACTGGGGATCTATGGGCAGCAGGGTCAGCACTGGGGATCTATGGGCAGCAGGGTCAGCACTGGGGATCTATGGACAGCAGGGTCAGCACTGGGACCTAGGGCTGCATGGTCAGCACTGGGAATCTGTGGTCAGTGCTGGGGATCTATGGGTGGCAGGGTCAGTGCTGGGGATCTATAGGCAGCAGGCTCAGCACTGGGGATCTATGTGCAGCAGGGTCAGCACTGGGGATGTATAGAAGGCAAGCTATACAACTCTTACAGATGACCTGAGTTCAGTTTCCAACACCCATGGTAGACAACTCAAACCTGCCTGAAACACCAGCTTCAGGGGGTCTATGTGATGAATCTTTTCTGGCCTCTAAGGAACTCTCTCTCTTTCCCTCTCTCTCTTACACACACACACACACACACACACACACACACACACACACACACTAAAAAACAAATCAACAAATTTACTAAAGGAAATAAAGTAAAAGTAGATGAGAATGAGAGTTTGGTACACTAGAAGTATGTAGGTATTAATTTTAGTAGGAAAACAAGAGAGATAGAGCCTGGAGCAAGTCTCAAGGAAGGCTTCTATTGCCACGGCCATGACAGGCGATGGGCAGGTACAGCCAGAGACCAGCATCTGCAGAGGCAAAGAAGTGACCTTGTGTTTGGGACACAGAGAGTTCCATTTTCCTGTCCACTATCTGCATCATGAATATAGATGCACCGTGGCCAGTCAGCCTCCCGCTCTTGATGCCATCTGCCACCATGCCTTCCCTGCCTGCCGCCACATCTTTCCCACCTGCCACAGCATCTTCTTCCTACTTGTCAAGTTGTTGTAATAGGAGCTGCGGGGCTGTGGCCTGCCACCCGACTAGCTTTACCCGGAATAATTACACGGAAACTGTATTCTTTTAAACACTGCTTGGCCCATTAGTTCCAGCCTCTTATTGGCTAGCTCTTACATATTGATCGAACCCATTTCTAATAGTCTGTGTAACACCACGAGGTGGCTTACCAGGGAAAATCTTTTTTTTTTTTTCGAGACAGGGTTTCTCTGTGGCTTTGGAGCCTATCCTGGAACTAGCTCTGTAGACCAGGCTGGTCTCGAACTCACAGAGATCCACCTGCCTCTGCCTCCCGAGTGCTGGGATTAAGGGCGTGAGCCACCATCACCCAGCACCAGGGAAGATCTTAACCTGTGTCTGTGTTGGGTGGGAGAATCATGGCGACTCCTTGACTCAGCTTCTTTCTCCCAGCATTCTGTTCTGTCTACTCTGCCTACCTAGTTTTCTGTCCTATTAGGGCCAAGCAGTTTTCTTTATTAATTAACCAATGAAACAACAGATAGAAAGATGACCCTCCTCCATCATCGAGTCTTCCCAGCGAGCCGCCATGTCTTCTCATCCCCAGTGGACAGTATCTCCCTGAAACTGTCAGGTGAAATAAATCCTCCCTCCTATAAGCCACTTTTGTCAGGGTATTTTATGACAGAAATAAGAAAGAAACCAATACAGGGTCGCAGGGAGTCCAGGCTGGCCTCAGACTCTGTGTATGGAGAGTAACACTGAATTTCTGATCCTCTTGCCTCCGTAAGCTGAGTGGTAAGACTACAAATGTGGGCCACCGTGCCCAGTTCATGTAAAGCCGGAGATCACAGTCAGGGCTTCTGCGTGTTGGGAAAGCATGCTGCTAACAGAACTACACCTTCAGCCTCATTGTATAGATGCAACGTGTGAACGCTGGCATGCTTACCACCGGGTCTGCCCTATACTCAGTCAGTATGAAGACTTGCTATCACTACTTTATCTGCCTCACGACTACCTCACTGCTTGCTGTAGTAGACCCACAATAGATGCTTATAAGTGACTGTGTTGTGTATCCTATCTTCGCATGATGCCTCTAAAATCTCTTCCTTCAATTCATCTGCTTCTGGGAACTGCACGCTGTACTTAAGCAGTTTAAAAGTCCAGTGGAAGGGCTCACAATTACCCCGGAAAGCCAGCCAATAGTAAGTACGGCAGAGGGAGGGAGCACCCTCTCTCCTGAAGCAGGCTCCTCACCTCCTGTCCTTCCCCAAACCCAACTGATTCACCAGCCCTTCGCTCCCAGACAGCCTGCTCCTTCCTCCTTTTCTTTGCCCTCATGACTTCCATTCCCTACTCTCAAATCTCTTCCTTTTTCATTCTTTCCCTCTTCTTATCTAAATATAAAAGTGAGCACCGGGAAGATGGGTGTGCTCAGCCCCATCCCATCAGCCAAGTGGATTTAAAAAGTTACGGAGCAGTCAACCATCTTAGGCTTCCACTTGGTGGAAGAGTTTTCTCAGAGCCGTGTGTAAACAAGGCAAAATTCAAGCTGGCGGCTGTGACCAAAATAACAGGAAACTGACTGCAATTCTGCAGCGTGTTTCAGCTTTCAAAAGGAAAGAAACTCCTGCCACCACACTTAAGGCAAGCTAGAGTCTCAGCATCCCACAATGTCTGCTGTCTCCAGAGCTAAGCCAGCCAAGGGACAGGAGCAGTCTCCCGCCCTCCTTCTGCTTCTGAGGTTCTGATTGATGACAGGTGAGCCGTGGGTCGGTCTGGAAGCTGAGACAGCCCCAGGCTCCATGGCTCAGCTCTTAGTACTTCTCCCATTTGCTGGGCTGTTTGTGCCACTGCTGCCTCCTTAACATCCCCTGGAAAGGTTCCTCTTGCAAAATCAAGCCACGGGACATTCATGGCAGACCCACGCCAAGTCTGCAGTCTTGGGCTCATCAGCTGGAGCCATGCATGAGCAGGAGTTTCTCTCTCCCAGTTTCTCTAAATCCAAGTTTCAAAATGGTAAATAGACTAAGTTTGGAGCTCTGTGAGCAGCATCCCACTGGATGCAGCATCCCACTGGCTCGCACGGGCCAGCTCTTGTTTCCTCTTCACCCAGCAGTTCTGAGAGCTGATTCATGCTTACTCCTCTGTCAGAATCGAAACTGGGCTGTGTTTAAACCTTTCTGCACTTGGCTCATCTATCCTGACTTTCTATCCGGACCTCAAAACGCATGCTTTGATTGAGAAGAAGGATTTCTGTGGTTTGGGGATAAGTGATTTCTAGTCTCAATAACCACAAACGGCTCCTTCATCAGACCTCACGATGAATCCAAGATGAGCTCAGAAATTCTTTTTCCATTATCTACTGCGGCATTCTGGACACACCGTCCCCTCCTTATTAACTAGTTTCTTTCTGCACTCTGGGCCTTTTTCTTTAAACATGAACTGTAGAGGAAAACTCTTCATCAAAGCAGACACGACTGCACCTGGAACCCTGATGCCTTGCCCCACGTCCATCCTAACGACTGTCTTTGTTACTTAGGAAACAGAGGTCATGTGTCTGCATCCCCTCAGCAGGTCAAGGCCACAAAATGAAATAAAAGCAAGCTGTGAAAGACCAGGGGATGACTCAGGCCTTAGAGACAGGTCTCCATTTCAGTCTGTCCCATTTGGAAAGATGAAAACCAGAATACTGGGGTGGCAACATGGCTCAGTGAGTAAAGATGCTTGCAGCCAAGCCTGTCACCCTGAGTTCAATTCCGGGACCTATGTGGTAGAAGGACAGACCCATTCCACACACACACACACACACACACACACACACACACACACACACACTCACGGGGGAGGGGAGGCAAATAAAGATAAATAAATATTAAAAATCTTTAAAATTTGTGTGTGTTACTTTTCTGTTGCTGTGATTAAAAAAATACCACAACCAAAAGCAACTTCGAGGTTTATTTCGGCTTATGGTTCCAGAGTCTACGCCGGCAGGAAATGTGCAGCATGCCAGCAGCAGGAGGAAGTTGGCTCTGTACATTTTCACCCCCATACGGAAAGCAGAGGGAGCAAGCAGGAAGTGGGGCAAGACTATAACCCGTCCAGGCCCACCCCCAGTGGGCTTTACATACCCTTCTGGCAAGGCTGCCGTTCCTAAAGAGTCTAGACCCTTTCCAAACAGCACCACCACCAGCTTGGAACCAAGTGACCAAACCCACGAGCCCATTGGGGGGCATTTCTCATCCCAACCACTGCACAAAGCATAGGTCAAGATCTGCGAAGCAGGATTTAGCTGCGGTGACCCGACAATAGCAGAGATGGTGGCTGTGAGGAGAAGGCGGCACAGGGAATAGAAATGAGCGGGGTGTGACTCACGTCCGGGTGACTCTAATGGCTATTTTCCTCCCTGTCAACACAGTTCCTCCCACAGGCGAAGACGGGATCAGAGCCATAAATCCATTTCACCCCTTGCCCTGCCTTCCAGCTTGTGATAAAGTTATCACGCTGTGAGACAGATTGAACTCTTTGCAGAGGTCCTTTCCACTGGGGGTGTTATTTTTTTCCAATTTTCTTTTCACAGGCCATCACAGCTGGGGCACTTATACTGCTTGCTCACCGAGAGTGGAGCCAGAGACACTTGGTAAACACAAAAATGTTGGCAGGGATGGTACAGTGGGCTTGGCAGTCATGTGTGCATGTGTGTGTGCGCGTGTGAAGTGTACTGTCCTTGAACTTGCCATATAGCTGATGATGACCTCAAATTTCTAACCTTCCTTCTGTCTTCCGAGTTCTGGGATTATAGGCAGTGCCACTTTGCCCAATTTTATAAACTATGTATTTTTTTACATATATTATTTATATTATTTAATTTAATATAATGCACAGCTGGTCCTCTGCTTACAAATTTTATCCAGTTCTTACTCCAAATAATTTCTCTAAGTTCATGATTATTGTTTGGGGTCAGTGTCAGGGCTCCGGAGCTTAATACAGAAATGAAACGACTTTAAATAATGTAAGTGCCCGTAGGGTGGTGGGGGGAGGTATAGACTGAACCCAAGACTTGGTGTCTGCGAGACAAACACCCTGCCCACTGGATTACACCTCCAGCCTCAAAAATGCAGTTCATAGCTCAACTCCTCAGCCTGAGATCACCTCCCGAGCTCGCTCAGATCTGGGAAGGATGAGAACTCCAAGCCTGCTTGAATTTAACAGCACCGAGCCAGCTCTTTCCAGGCTACAGGAGGAGCGTGGTATCTGATTCCAGGTCTCATTTCCGTGTCAAAGGCTGTAGGGGGTCGGCTGGAGCTTGGGCTAGCGCACAGGCTCTGGTGAAGGTCTGGACGAGGTCTTCAGCAGTGTAGCGCAACCCAGGCACAGATGGCATCTGAGAACCACCGTCCTAGAGAGGGCCTTGTTTCCCCAATGCCAGCTGGCCCTCTGTACACGATAGGGAATAAGCAAATATTTATTGAATTGATTTCATTTTAGCTCCAATTGGCTGACATGGTTTCCTCTTGAAGCCTAGATTGGCATAAGAGGAACGGGTCCTAACAGGAAGGTTGAGGGGAGAAGGAGCGGAGCTCAATGGTGGAGGCTTTGTTGGTCTAGCAGCAAAGGAGGCCTTGGGTCTAAATTTAAAATGGCAGCACGGGGGATGAGTGTGTGTGTGTGTGGGGGGGGGTAATCCAATGTGGCACTTGGGATGTAGAAGCAGGAAAGACCAAGAGTTCAAGGCCAACCTTAGCAACACAGAAATCTGAGGCTAGCCTGGGCTACAGGAGACTGACTAGAAGTAGATGAGATATGAAAGTTGTGTGTTTCTCCTTCAGCATGTAGGGGAGACTGAGGGCCACCGGCTCTTCTTCTAAGTAACAGCTTGTTTCTCCTCTTTTCCAGTGGGAAGCTGGCTTCACCTTTGCGGTTCTGAGCATTATGGGATGTCCACTTCATTTTGCAATAGCCTTGGAATCTGCTCTCCTTGGTCCATATTGCTTCTACTCATTTTCAGGGTCTGCAGGGACCAATTACCTTGGTTACGCAGTTACCTTTCCTTTCCCATACACGGCATTCCCATCAGTCTGCGTGGACCCTCTCCACTATGAAGAGTATCACCTGACCCTTCAAGTCCTGGACCTGTGCCTGAGCCTCGTCCTGTTCTGTGTGTCCCTGGCCGTGTTCGTCAAGCTTTCCACACGACTGGTGCAGAACGGACACGTAAATGTAAGTTCTCAACGGAGGGAGGCCGGGCCTTGCTCACTCCGGAAGGTGAGGGGAAGGACCGTATGGGAATTCCTAAGTGGTCTACCACGATTTGCTGCCATGGTAACCAGGGTCCAGCATGTTACAGGCTCTCAATAAGCGATTTTGGATGAATGGGAGGACTTACATTGAGGGAATAACTGGTTTATCCCCATTAGTAGGCACTATCTGCTAATTTTTATCTCAAACTAGCATTTTAAAGCTGTGTGGAAATAAATAATAGTACATACATACTCTCACCTCTTGACATTTCTCTCCTCTTAGGTTTATTTTAAAATTTTTAAGTTAACTCACAGTTTCAGACATGTATATAACGTATTAGGTCATGCTCTCCTTACATTACTTTCTCTTGTCCCCCTTTTCTCTTCCTCTGAGCCCCTTCTACTTTCATGTCTTTGTGCATGTGTAGGCATATGTATATACACATATGCATGTTTGTGAGTGAGTGTGAGTGTGTGTGCAGTGTATATGTGTGTGTGTGTACATGTGCTTGTGTACATGCGTCTGTGCATGCAATGAGCTCACTTGGCCCAATGGGTTTCACTGAAGTTTCTTACAAGATCATGGTTGAGTGGACATTTACTGGCACGTGAGCAGTTAACCCATGAGGCGACACCACTGAAGAAATATCTCCCTGGTGCAGGACAATTGTCTATATTCTAATTATATTTTAAATAAATGCTGATTGGCCAGTAGCCAGGCAGGAAGTAGGGGCGGGTCAATGAGAACAGGAGAATTCTGGGAAGGAGGAAGCCCATTCCTCGGCAATTGTGAGCCCACCATAGAAGAAACAAGATGTGACCTGCCCTGCTGAAAAAGGTACTGAGCCATGTGTCTAGCATATACTAGAATATAAGTTATAAGAGTTAATAAGAAGCCTGAGCTAATGGGCCAATCAGTTTATAGTTAATGTAGACCTCTGTGTGATTTCTTTAAGACTTAATGACTGTGGGAACTGGGCAAGACAGAAACCCTGACAACATCTCCTCTTACTCCAGCAATTATTAACTGCCAAGAGCTCCCCAGGAAGGGGTGAGGCCCATGAAAGCTCCCCCCAGCCCTCCCCATGACAGAGTGTTGGCTGATCCAGTCTTATGGACAAGAAAGTAGGGAGCTATAGCCGCTGTGAGTTCACAAGCACACTAACCAGGTGGTGTCTGGAAGCATTTCACAGCCTGCCTCCCAATCCTCCAGTCCTTGAATTCTCCCCAGCTCCACCTCTGTAATGCCTTGGGAGAGGTGACAACAGTCACTCAGGCTCAGCCCTTAGAGTGTTGTGAGTCTGTAGTAACCGCTGCAGTCCTCTGGCAAGTGAGCATTTTCTGAGGAAGGCTGAACTTTAAACAGGTGCTCCTGCCTCAGGCCATAGCAAAAGGTGGGACAAAAGCAAACATTGTGCGATCTACTATCTGAATCAACAAAGTCAAATTCACAAAACAGAGCAGAGTGTAGCTATTGACAGAAGTTGGGGAATCAAGAAATGGGAAGATTTTTGTCAAAGAATATAAATTTTAGATGTGAGTAAATAGTTTGGGGCATAATATACACCATGAGACAATAGATAACAATACTGCATCATGTACACAAGATTTTCTAAGAGAATACACACAAACATATACATACCATCTGTATATTTATGGTATTTTCATCGAGATCTTACTTTAGAACCCAGGCGGGCCTCATACCCTGTACCCTCATGCCTCAGTTTTCCCATGCCAGGATTGTGGGTATGCGCCTCCCAGTCTTCAGGAGTAAAACTTGTGTGAGTGCGCATGAGATGTGGGAGTGTCATATATCAATCTGTTGATTTCATTGGCTGAGCAATAAAGAAACTGCTGGTCCTGATAGGTTAAAAGATAGGTGGGCGGAATAAACAGGATAGGATGCTGGGCGGAAGAGGAAGTGAGGTCAGACTCTGCTCTGCTCCCGGAGAGAGCCGACAGCTTGGGAGCAGAGACGCCATGCTCAGCCCTCCCAGGTAGACGCAACGATGGATGGAGGCTAGAATCTTCCCGGTAAGCGCACCTTGGGGTGCTTACACACATTACTAGAAATGGGCTAGTCCAGGTGTGAGAATTAGCCTGTAAGGGCTAGGGTTCATGGGCCAAGCAGTTCTTAAATGAATACAGTTTGTGTGTTGTTATTTCGGGCATAAGCTAGCCAAGTGGCCGGGGTGTTGGGGACACAGCCCCGCCGCTTCATATTTCAACACGCATGTGTGAGTTGGGGCTGTACATGTCCACGTATGTGCATGGAAACCCGAGGACGGTGTCAAGTGTCTCTCTCTATTGCTCTCCCTGTGTCTCTCTCTATTGCTCCCCCTGTGTCTCTCTCTATTGCTCCCACTGTGTCTCTCTCTATTGCTCTCCCTCTATTCCTGTGATGCAGGATCTCTTGCTGATCAGGTTAGGCTAGCCAACCAGTGAAATCTTAGGATCTCTTGCCTCCACCCAGTTTTGCACAGCGAGTGCTCTTACCCATTGAGCTGCCTCCTCAGGTCTCTTAAGCAGTAGTCTCCAGTGTTCTCACCATGCCTGCTTACAGACAGACACGGTGAAACTTGGGCTGACTGATGACAGACTCAATAATCTGACTGTGGAAAGGCATTTGCCATCACACCGTATTGTACATCCTAAATTTAGACAGAATTGCTTATCTAGTCTAGTTTGCTTCAATAAATTTGAGAAAAGTCAGTTTCTTACTTGTAGAAAAGGCATGTGCCCACCTTGTCCTGTAGGGTATAAGCACAGAGTGGGCAGTGGGTTCTTCTTCTAGCAAAATGGGTATTAAAATAAACTAACCTCAAATTTCAAACTTCAAAATAATAGCTTTGTTTGTTTATTTTTGAGAGGAGGTCTCTCTTTGTAGCCCAGGCTAACTGGAACTATGTAGCCTAGGATGACCTCAAAGTCTTGGCAATCCCCATCTTTTATACGCTCAATTATACTTGTGCCTCACTGCATCTGATTCTCACATTTATATATTTTTATTTTATTTTATGTGTATGGGTGTTTTGCCTGCATCTATATCTATGGAGCATGTGCATAACATATCTGTGGTAGCCAGAGAGGGCTTGGGATCCTCGGAACGGAAGTTCCAAAGTTGTGAACTGTCACATGGGTGCTGGGGACAGAATCTGAGTCCCATGCACGAGCAGCCAGCGCTCTTGCCTGCTAAACATCTTGTCAGCCACAAACCAAAATTTAAATCATGCTTTGACCTGTTCCTTTGTAATTCCTCTGGCGTTAGAATAAAGTTAGTCATTTGCTTTACTTTAACCACATTCAGCTTTACCATATAAAATTATTCTAATAGAGAATACTAAAAGCGTTGTGGAAACTGGCTGTAGAAACATCATTTATGCTTTAAGTATTTGTCAAATATGGACTTTTAAATTTGGTAGCAAAACAACATACAGAAAAAGGTCTCCCAGTATTTCTGTTTGGACCTTGGTAGCGAAGTCTGTATATCCCAAACCAACCTGAACTTCCTATTTTCCCCAAGAGGACTAGTTATAATACTAATGCATGGTCCTAGCCAGCTTCAGACTGGATGGACTGTTTGCATTTTACAGGTTGTATGCTCTGCCTAACCAGTTCACTTAGGGCTGGGGGTGTTGGTTGAGTACTTGCCTAGTGTGTACATAGCTCTGGGTTTGATCCCAAGCACCGCAAAATGAGGTATGGTTTGCACACATCTGTAATCCAGGTCTTAGGAGGCAGAAGCAAGTGGATCAAGAGTTCAAAGTCATCCTTGGTTATATAGAAAGTTCAGCACTCGTAAGGTACATGAGACCGGTCTCAAAAAAACAGGAAAAATATAACTTGCCTCAGCTCACTCAGTTAAGAAGCAGAACCTAGGGCACCCTGTTGCTTCCTTATTCCTATTGCTGGCCTGCTGGCCCTAGCCCAGTCCACTGCAACAGACCTGAAGGTGGAAAAGCACACTTGATCTCTGCACTAATTCTTCCAGGTGTGGCCCCTGTCAATCCCCTGCTGTTGGAAGACCCTTCCTTAGGCAGAAATGCTCCCTCTGCAAACACAGCTTTTGTGATTCAGATTTCTATCTGCTAAGGTCAGGTCGGGCTGCTGCTGGATTTCCTTCCAGTTCAATCCTATGGAATACAGGAAGTTGGCACTCTGGGTGCCTTTTGAGGTCAGTCCTGTCCTCATCGGCTTCTGCTTGAGTCTGCAGAGGAAATCCTGTCCATTCCTAAGACAGAGCTGATTTTGCAGGGAGGCCTGCCAAGCCAGGCAAGTCAGCCTACATTACCCCCCTCCCTGTACTGCCAGGGCATCTGGAACGTCAGGAGCTGAGATTTCGCCCAGGTAGTAAATAGCCCACATTTTCTAGACTTCTTGTTAGATAGAACCCATGGCTATGAAAACCAGAGAATTACTGGCAGTCGTAATAACGCTATGCCCTCATCACAGAGTCCCCCCCCCAAAAAAAAACCAACTGGAGACAGAGTCCTGTATGTAAAAGCAAAGAGCTTTTATTCGTACACAAGTTTGTAAACTTGGACTCCCCATGTGGCCAAAATATTGGAGTAGTTGGAGAGCCCCGAGCTCAGCTGGGGTTTGGTTTTTGTAGTAGAAAAGGTGAGAGTGAGGGATTTCTAAAGTTCAAAACCCCTAATTGGCTGACATTTGCCTAAGGGTGTCCTGATGAAAAGCGATGGGTGTGTGCTGGCAGGTGATCCTATCTACAATGGTTGGAACGTTAGGAATTTTTTTGGATGGTCTGTTCCTGGGTGGTGCCTGAGTAGTCTCAGTTTGTGGTCTTTCTTGGAACCAGGGTAAACTACAGAGACTCAGGCCTCTACTGAGCTTGTCCTGGCTGGGTCCCACAATTCCCCACCATGGGAGATCCACAGCGTACGGCTGTCCCCCATTATGCATGATGCTCCAAATCCCTACATTTCGCACAGATAGAGGGCAGGGAGAAAGGAAGGGAAACTGGATGCGGACTTTGGTCAGTGACTGTGCTGGGAGGAGACCTGAAGTCCCTGCGGGGAGATGAAAGGGCAGCAGAATAAGTGACCTGGGGGCCATGACCCCTTTGTGACCAGAACAACCCTTTCACAGGGGTCACATATCAGATATCCTGCATATCAGGTATTTACATTACAGTTAATAACAGCAGCAAAATGACAGTCATGAAGTAGCAACAAAATAATCTAATGGCTGGGGTCACCACAGCATGAGGAACTGTACTAAAGGGCCGCAGCATTAGGAAGGCTGAGAACCACTGGGCTAGAGGGAAGGTGTGCCAACGTGGAAGTCACTCTGTTGCTCCAGCACAGCTTCCCAGCCCATAGAGCCCACGAGAACTGTGGTGCACTTCTCCGAGCAGATGACATCAGACACACTCGGGCAGGTTAGACCATTTGTTGTTCGCTTTGAGATGGTGTCTTCTGTAGTCCAGGCTGGCCTCAAACTCACTGCATAGCTGAGGATGACCGTGGTCCTCAGTCTTCACCCTCTAGGTTACTCGGATTGCAGACAGGCTCTAACATGCCTGGCTTCAGGGTTCTTATTAAATTTCTGGATCTCACCTGAACCCTGCAATGTCAGAACCCTGAGGAAGAACAGACAATATGCATTTATAACACACATCCTGGGAAGTTCTAATGGCCACAGAAGTCAAAGAATTGACATTGTAACTTCTTTCTTTCTTTCTTTCTTTCTTTCTTTCTTTCTTTCTTTCTTCTTCTTTCTTTCTTTCCTTCCTTTTTTCCTTTTTTTTAAATATAAGGTATCAAACAACCCAGGCTAGCCCTCAACCTGCAATGTAACCAAGGCTAATCTTGAACTTGACTTTTATGCCTCTCCTTTTATTTTCTAGGACTACAGTGTAAACCACACCTGGTTTATGAGGTGCTGGAAACTGAACCCATGGTTTCATGCACACTAGGCAAGCACTCTACCACTGAGCTACATCCCCAGCTCATTAGGCTATAACTTCATATAAGAGTCTCCCCTTACTCCCATTTCTGGACAGAGTACCCATTTACCTATCTGCCTACAATGCAGCACCAAATTAAGGTAAACGTCTAGATAAATCTAATACATGGCATCTTCTGAGAGAGCATTTTTGCGTGATTTGACATTAGTTAATCCAGAATGGCAGCAGATGGAGTTCCATTAGCCATGCTGTGGGGCTGACACAATGGAACCTGAAAGTCTGCATTAGCATAGACGGCCCTGCCCCCAGTCCATGTCTGCACAGCCCAGCCAGGCCCATCTCCATGTGCCTCTCAAAGTAGTGCATGCAATTTCCAGCAGTGAAATTATTATATTATGTATTAAAGTATCCGAAAATATAGGCTTAGAAGAAAACAGTGACCTAGGTATAGACTCCTCCACAGTGCGTCTATCTGTGAGGCACTCACAGAGAGTTATAATTTATAATGGTAGATGTTTTTCCTTTATTACATATGTTTGTTGGTTTTTTTTTTTTTTTTTTTTTTTTTTTTTTTTTTTTTTTTTT